TCAGGAGCCGATTCTGCAATATTCGATTTGCGAACGCCGGGGAAGATACAGCATCATTTTGTTTGAGCCGTAGAAAGCAATGTCACCCGTGAGCTGACGCTCACACGATAGAAAACTGAGGCGATATTCACATTACCGATAACCTTTGATGTAATTGCCAGCATCAAATATCAAAATCGAGTCGCGACTCAAATTTCGCTGAACCTCAGACATCAGGCGACCCCTCAGCTCCTTTTCCTCCTTCGAATCCATGAAGACTTTGTTCCTGTCCAAATTTTCGCTTTCGGAGACCGACATGACCTAAAGAAGAAGAGGAGTTCATTATGAGGTGCGTCAATTCTTTGGAGATGAAGTCGATCGTTGCATGATGAGCTTGGGAGAGTTTCTGACTCTCTCATGATTGACAGCTAGTGAGTGACTGACATCAGCTGACAGAAGATGATCGTCACGATACAATAGCATTCTTAAACCCACCTTCTTATCGGGATACTTCATTCGGAAGAACTCTTCCATCTGTTCTGTTCGGAGGGTCTTACCACTCGCTGGGTAACCGGTCATCACGACTAGAGGCATCTGTGTGAAAATGGAACGCGTATCATTCACTATCCGTTAAAAAGACAACACAAAGTCTCGACACCCGGAACTCTCACGTTCAGTGAATCTTCCAGCTGTATAACGTACGATGTCGATTAGCGACTCCCGCCTAATTATTCCAAGTGCACCAAAATGAACGCTGCGAATTCTCGATTCCAAACATTTATCACGCGCGTTCGAAGGCGAAAACAGTTTCGCTACTAACCCGCGGAGCAAATCGTCGGAAAGTCGGTCAGCTCCCTCGTTTGACAGGAGCGCGATTTCTTCAATCCGTGAGAGCATAACACCTCTTAATATCATTGATTGTACGATTTTGATCCTAATCCCTATCTCATCGGTGATATTCTATTATCGAGATTTCATCTCGAAGCTTCGTTCGCGAGAGATGCTCTCCTTCAGCTATTCGGTGCTCCCGGCTGAGTCTCTTCGTGAATGAATCCACAAGCATACCCTGCATGAGAATCACTTGAGAAAGATATGTCTGGTTCAAACCAGAGGCAAACTCCTAGACGCGAGTGCGTTGAGAGTACCGCGAGTATTTTTATCGGGGCTAGACTTGTCAAGGAAAGCTGTCTCGAATGCAAGAGCAGTCTCTGATGAGCGGGCCTCTCCTAGAGCCCGAGATGAGGTATCCATGTTCGGAAGACTGAATGAGATCCGCAGAGATTGCACTCGAAAGGAACCTTGCTCCATCCTCAGCCTGGTGGATAGGAACAGTAGTAGGTCAGCCTCTGAAATATGTACGAGTACTCTCCATTAGGCGAGCCGGTATCGGAAGCTCGAAAAACTGACGAGCATGCTCTTCAATTTCAAGATAGTTTACGGTAGAGCATATCTTAGGCCTCTACACCCGCAACTTTCGAGAAGCATTCTACCTCAATGAGTAGCTAGAGGGAGCGAACATGAATTTCGGAAACTCACAGAATAGATTAGCGAAGAGAGGAGAACGCAGGAATCTATTCTAGTCTCCAGTTTCGGAGTCCTGAAAGGACTTTGATGAACACATTGAAGTACGTGCAGGATCAATTGAGAATAATCTGTTCATATCATTATCGGATCCCACGGCATCCGTCATCGGGGAATCCTTATCCTCTTGATAGGACTCCTCTGACGTCGATCGACATCTAAGAGCCAATCGGGACCCTTGGGGGTGTCGATCAGACGCAGCGCATTTCCCTTCATGTCCGGTTCTCAACAGAAAATTCTATGGACTACCGCGGGGGCGGAGTGCGTCAGAGATCGTGTAGTCATGAGGCTCCGCATACTACGCGGAGGGTTTGAGAATCGACTCGGACGCCACTCAGCGCGAAGCGAGAAGCTACTTCACCCGGGATACGACTGAAGCGTATCTGGCGTGAAGAATGGAACTGTTTTCAAAAAATTCTGGATGATCTCGACGTAAGCCCCTCGATATACGGATCCGCCGGATCATCGTCTCCACGAGGAGATGTGGGCTGCGAATTCGGGGAGGTTTGTTTTCATTAGATAGTTCCTCATCGTACGCAGGTATCAAGCTCTCTCTCGCCTCCCGCGCTAGATTCATTCGTGTCTCGTATGTATTCCATTCTCCCGAAGACTACGCTCGAAGTCTAAGCCCTGCTCCGGTTCGCTTATCATGGAACGCAACCAATGAGCGCGGGTCTCCATGAGTCTTTCGATCATTTGGGAGTTATTTCCGTATTCCTCGGATATCCCCTGCGTCGTCACGAGCAGAATCTAAATAAAGATCAAGTAGCTCAACGAAAGCTAGGGATGTGCACCTTTCACGGTGACCCCGGAAATAGCGGTTAGCGCGAGTTTTAACAATCCTCTGCCATTTCCGCGACATTGGTCATCACATCACATCATTTCGAATATCATCACTCGATAGTGGATCGAATTTTCTCCAAACAACCCGGAGGATTTCCTCCTATGATCGTCAGATCAGGCTCTGAGAATCGAAGGTGTTCCAAAGCTCAACGAGGCTTGGTGAGACCCTGTCATAGATTGGCAAGGAGCTGGATCACAAGACCGGATCGGAACTCGCCACGAGACTAGCAAAGCCGCTTCATTCCGGGAGCCACTCTCGCCAATAATATGGAGCTATTGCAATTTCCCGCGATTCCGAGAGAATTCCGGGGTCTGCTGAGAATTCGGAGTTCTCTTAATGCGGCACGCCGCGATTCCAGCAATATTTGAGCACGAAAAAGCCAAGTTTCTAACGATGTTTAGAAACATCTGCGAAAACGGCGACGTAAGGCGCCTTGGGAGCCCGGGCTCGCTCAATGGTCTCCGGAAGACCAATCAGTCCAGAAACAGGGTCATCACCTCTCTCAGCTTCGTCGAGATACGCATCTTTGAGTTACACGTTCATCGAGACAATGAAGTTTATTCGAAATGTATGCAAGGAACGTCGGCGGGTATAAATAGTGATTGAATGGAGTCAGCCGACTCCATCCAGTCTGTCCCCGGACGGCAGCGATCCGCTAAGCGCTGCGCCGTTTCTCCTTTGGACCTCGATGGAAACCCTCTGAAGCAAGAACTCAGTTGCCCGCCTACCCCGGTTGCCACCTCGATGCGTTTCCCCAAGTCGCGCAGGAAGAACGCCGTAGACTTGCCCATGACACCAAGGGTCTATAGGGCGACGGGTTGGACGATGAAGCGGCTTTCAAGTTCGCGGTGCTTCAACAGCTTGTTCCTCTCCGCAAGGCTCGCAATCGCCCCTGCCAAACGAGCAGCCCTGGGTCGATGCGATTCGGCCAAGGTATCCCAATGCGTTTATCTGTTTTCTCATTTCGAAGAGATTGGTCGAGCGGAGGGAGATACGGATACAGCAATGACAGAAAATCTTTGTTCACTTTGAGGTCTGCGAATTCCTGGAAGCATTTGTCGTCGGAGTGCCACGCTTTTGATGGCTAAGAGGTGTAGACAAGATCGAGCCTGAATCCGAACTTCATGTCAGAGCATACGCCTGCTTGTATGCGCTGTGGACAATCGTTAGCTAGGGATCCCGATGAGAGTCCCCCAAGCAGCCTCTTGTAGAAGAAGTGAGATTTTGGTGTCTGTCCCTGAATAAATATGGAAAGGGGCTGGGACGCCCCCCCCCCTCTCCCGCCCCGGAGTCCCGTGACCACATGGATGCTCCCATCACTCCGACACACACTGTGCGTGAAAAAATGTGCTCCCAAGAAGAATTCGTTCGGTGGAACAATATTGCAAAAGCATGCCCTCGTATCAGACGCCGTATCCGATAGCTAGGAAGCAAGCCTCCGCAGCTTTTCGTTCCCGGAACCTTTTTGATTGCACTCAAGTCTCGGGCTTCAAGGATGACCGTCCAATCCGACATAGCCCCGGCTATGATCCAGGCCGGCATCACTGGAAGGCCAGAGCAGTGTCCCTTTACAGCAGTCGTGGGAGAAAGCCCTTTCGAAGCCTGATAATTTCCGGCAGAAATTGAGCCTGACGCCCCATGAGAGCCTCAGACTCTGACAAGCGATACAGAGGCGCTGGCGCGGCGTCATGATGCGGCGATATCAGAACTCTCGACATGAGATCGTATCTGTAGAAAAGACCCTCCGCACATTGAGGACAAGGAGACCATCGCATGAGTTCAGCTTGCCAGTGTACGCGTCGACTCCCAGCTGAGCCCATTTTTCCCTCATCGGGTAGTCTCCGGGGGCATTTAATTCGGAATATTGAAGGAGGAACGCTCTTCATCGAAAGCTATCGGGGAATGGGGAAAGCGGCAGCAGCATGACACCTCCTGCTCGAGCGATAGGCAGCGGTCTCCCACGAAGGAAAATTATCTCATTGGCAGGTCCGAGTCCCTCTAGACGCCAGAATTGGTCGAAGAAGCGTCGAGGTCGCGGAAACATGATTCTCCTTGGGGAGATCGAGGTTTCTCGACTGCACTGAGTTTATGCAAGGACTTCTTGCCGAAAAAAGGGCAGGATACACTGAATTCAGTCGCGCTAGAAGTAAAAGTTCCGTCCCTTGTTTACATTATATAAACGAATTCAGATAAACGTTTACGCTCAGTTTTAAGCCCTAGTGCCATTCAAAACCCAGTTCTTAGACGTACAGCACTCGCTTTCTGCGTTCGTTACCACTCCTAGAGTCGAGCCGATCCGCCATGAAGATCTTCGCCTTGTTCGCGCTGCTATTGATCTGCTGCCTGTTCCAAGTGTCCGCCGGGAGGCCTCTCGTGATAACGGCCTTCCTCATGAGGAATGGAATCGTTTCTGATAACACCGGCTCTCTGGTTCAGAAGATGTCCAATACGTTCGGATTCCAGGAAACAAAATCGTCGGAACTCGAGCTAGGTCGATCGCTGATCCGTTACTGATCCGAAACAAGTGACCGGAATCAACTATGTTCTCTGATGCTCAATAAAGTGGTCTTCATTGCGATTGCATGTCTTGCGTTCCCTACATTGACTCCGGAATTCACAGTGGTATTTTGAAACGATATCATAGGTCTTTGAACATGGAAAATCATGATTCTAGATATTCGAGCCTGCTTCCTTGGCACTGATCATTTGAACTAACGAAATTCGCTTGAAAGCGATATGGAAATTGCTGAGACCGATACGAGGCCATCGGTGCGGTCCTCCCATGGATTTCGGGCGGCGAAATCCGGTGAACTCCATGCTTTCGTAACTCATAGCCATACGGCTCGGGCCGCCCCGCTCGTGTACGGATAATTGCGAGTCATCCGATCCTTCATTCATCCGCGGACCCATGGCTATTCAGCGAAGCTTCCAGTCTATTAGACTCTCAATCCAAGGGTTTCCCCGAGCGAATCCCTATCGAGTCCGTTCATAATAGTTCCTCAAGTTTCGTGACACGCTCCCTCCACCGGGCAACCGGAGGCACTCGATGTGTTGTTTCTCGGAGCCGAAGGATCACTTGGAGTGACGGTCGAGATTAATCGTCCTGAATCGAACGGTCGTCGATGGTGTCGTCTGCGTTTAGACGATCGGCTCTATACGAGAATACCGTCTCATCCCTTCCGGGCATCGTAGCAGACTCGATGCAAACGTCCATCCACTCGGTGTTCCGGTTCTCGCTTGGAATCGCGGTCGGTACTCACCACCGATGAGCGCGGTCCGGCCGTGAGTACGCTACGGGGCGCACCGAGGGCGAAAACTGGCGGCTCGTCTACCGAGAACTCGGCGGTCGCTGACCGATCCCT